AAAGAATAAAGGTCAGGGCTGGGGAGACAGCTCGACACTCTTGCCACCTGCCTGGCAAGTGCAAGCACCCAGGTTCGATCCCCAGTACCACATGCCATGTGGGACCCTGGGTGCACCATGTTGGCCACGGAAACACGGCATGGTGGTACATGGCTGTAATCCCAGTGCTGGGGAGGCTGAGACAGGAGGATCACTAAGAGTCCAAGCTGCTTAGCAAGACCCTGTACCAAAGAAAGAAACAAAAAAAGAAGAAAGGAAGGAAGAAAGAAAGAAAGATTAAAAGAAATAAATGAAGGTCCAAGGCAAACAAACGCTGCCTATTCTGCATGCAGTAGGCTACCCTCTGTGAGACCCAGATCTGGAGCTGGCCCTTCCTTTGCATTCTCTCTTTGTCTCCCTTCGCTGGTTCGCAGCAGCAGCAGGAGCACCTGCTTCTACTCTCTTACATCCAAGCTGAGTAACTTCAGTGTTCCCCATACATTAGTGTTCCTGGGTCCTCCTTGTATTAGGTTTGGCCAAAGGCTGAGATAATATCTGAGTCTTGGATTAAATTTGACACTCTCATGCCTCCTTTTGCTTTTTGAATACCACTAGTTTGGTTGTCAGTCAGAGCTGTCGAATAAATGGTGTGCAAAGGAGCCATTCTTCTGAATTTCCTTCAGAAGCTGGAGGTGGCTGTGCTGATCAAAAAGCCATGGTGTCTACACTCAAATGAGATTTTCTTTTCTCTGCACTACTGGGTCCAGACACCCCACCTGTTTTGCCTCATCAGCTTCTTCCTGTTAGGCTCTGCCAAACATGCGCACCAGGGGCAGAGGGGAGCTGGGACACAGAGAGCCCACTCCGCCCACTTTGCTTGTGGTTTCTGCCAGCATGGACATGGCAGGAAAAGCCCTCTCCCTAGAAACAGAGTTGGGGGTTTTCTAAATCTTTCCACACTCACAGGAACCTCTGACAGTGTCCCAGAGGCTGGAGAATAAAAAGCCAGGCTTCTTGGAACCTAGGAGCTTGAGGAGAGGCCCTAGGGTAGTCATCTTGTAGAGGTTTAGTGGGAGGAAGTAACCTCAGTACTCTGTAACTTGGGCCCGCACACTGTGTTGAATACGCCATCTTGGACTGCCAGTCCGTAACCTGTACCTGTACCTCTTCTGCCCTGGCAGAGCTCCTGGGCTTTCTTTACCATTTGCCATCCTACTCCTCTCCAACACATGCCCTTCTGCCTCTATGCATTGGCTCTGCTAAAATTTCATCCTATTTGAATTCTAGCCTCTCTAACCTATACTGCATAGGGGACCAAGGTAGCATCTTTTTTCTGGGCTTGCTTCTCCAAGTCAACAAATACCTATTGAATTGTTTACTGTGTACAGAGCATCATGTGTCTTTGACCAGATACGCAAAGATGAGAAAGCCTTAGGCTGTCCTCGTAGTGTAGCAGTGATTGTCTGTATACTTGAAAGGTGTGCTATGTGCTTGTGAAAGATGGAAAACATATCAACCAAACCCATGATGGAGAGAGATCTGTTCTGGTTAGTCAAATAATTGAGTTAGCAAGATGAAGACGGGGTAAGATCCTAAGAAGCACACACAGGTAGCAAGTAGAGAGTGTGCTACCTTCTAAAATGAGTCAGCTCCTTCTGAACACAAGGATTCATTTTCTAAAGAAGGGGTTTATGCAAGTTTGTGGCTGGAGCTGGATTTGGTGGTACTGGCAGTAATGCTGAGAGAAGGCCGGGGCTTCATGCTTGGCGCTGGGCAGCTGGCAGTCGAAGGGCAACTTCAAAATAGAAAGGAATACTGAACGGGAATTTCCATTAGAAAGTTTGCTGATGTGAGATGCAATCTCTTCACTCTGCACAGTCATCAGTAAGACTACTTGCTCCTTAAGGACTTGACCAAGTATTGAATCATTTCACAAGTCTGGAATCAGGTCTCCATAGAAGGCTGGCGATCCATAAATTATGTATATACTTTTCATTCTTTATCTTTCTCCTCCTTACATTGTAAACACTCCATAACACTGATTGGATTTTAAATTCTTTCCCATCAGCCTTGGTTATTGAGTAGCACATGTTTAGCAATGAGCTAATTTCTGGATTTAGAGTTTATTCTTGCCCAGTTCACCTAATATCATGTTGTACAGGGTACCCACATGCCTGAATATGGCAAGTCATGAGAGTGCAGTGCTGACCCATTGCACTTATTTTGAGGCCATTTATTTTATTTTTTTGATTATAAATAAATAAAAGCATAAGATTGAACATTTGGACATCTGAGCAAAAATAAAAATTGCTCATAGATTTACTAGGCAGATATAACCACTGCCAACAAGCTCTTTATATGTATATATATTTATAGATAATAAAGACTATATATAAAATATGTTCATCAAATGTTACATTCTCTTTATTTATATTTAGTTAAATCAGGTTCATGATATTTATAAAAATATTTTACTGCTTCTTTGATGTTTTGATACAAAATTTATACTTCATAATATCTTCAAAACTAGTATTTCCTCACTGTTTTGTAACACATTTACTGACACAGTGAACATTCACGTGTATATATTATAAATTTATATCAGGTAGAAATATTTTGACACATTGAAAAGCACACTTATATTCAGAGGCAGAATTTTGGACTTACCTGAAATGAAACTCAAGAGATACAACCCTAGCGGACCATGCAGGGTTTCAAAGGGTTTGCCGAAGGCATTGTACATGAAGAAGGCTGCTCCCACCATGGTTAGAACAACAAGGATTGTGGAGAAGAGAATGACGTTGACGTGGATGCTCACTGGAATTGCTTTTAGCAAATCTGGGAAAACTGAAGATAAACCAAGGATTAGAAGAATTTCATTATCAGTAGTCTGCAAGTATAATTTAAAAAGTTAAATCCCCCTTCTTTTATTCAATTGAAAAAATCCTTCTGATGAATACATTCTCACTTACTAATTTACATGGAGTTTGCAAGATTTAAAGCGTAGAATTGTTTTATGGAATTGCTAATAAAAACTGACAAAGAGGAGATTTGAGAGAATTTTTTTTTTGCCCTTAAACATATGCAATTGCTTAAACAAGTGCTGACTTTGTAACACATAACAGTACACTGTAATGTCCATACTTAATGACATTTCTCACCAATCATCTTTTAAAAATCTATCTTAAGGTTGGGGATTTAAAGAGAAGGTTTTTATATTTCCTTTGTTTGAAAACATGGGTTCTAGCTCATCCCAAAATTAAAGAATGGAGCATTTTCAGTCAACTTCAATATTTTGATGTAGCATAAAGCTCTGGGAAAATAATTCTGGTGTTAAAGGAAATATTTTCCATTTGTAACACACGCCAAAGCTATTTCTAGATTTTGTGTGCATGGTAAGTTTGCCTTGTCTGCTGAGGAAATGAAACACTTCCTAAATGTAAGGTTTCTCTTACCAGGTACGGCATTAGCATGCTTGCTGTGAGCCCAACAGGCATGGCCAATCTCAGGAAGTGTAATTCAGTTCACAGTTTTACAAACATTTAGCAAGTGCTGAATTTATTTACTGAGCACCTACTAGGCACTGGGCATCGTTCAGGTTACAAAGCAAGAGAGGAAAGGTCCTTGTCCTCTCAGAGAGATTATAATCTAATGAGAACAGGCAGTTGGCAAGCAAACAACTAAGCTCGATTACTCATCTCTGGAAATAGTCACTATCAATGCTTATGAGGTAGAAGTTTTTCCTCAGCCATTCGAGACTCAGTAGGCCTTTGGACTCCTTGACCTTCACAGGTGCTACATTTTCTTTATTTTTCATAATAGGAGAAACACACTGCTGAGAAATGCACATTAAAACTCTGAAATACCACTTTCCACAACCATGTAAAAAAGATTGAACCAAATACCCTGTGCTAGGTGGCGTGTTGGAAAAGAGAGTCCTGGGAACAGTTTCCTGAGACTGGAAACTGGTACAGCTTCCTTCAAATAGCTGAGCATTGTCTATAAAGTAGTAAAACATACATACCCCTTAGCTCAGCAATTTCACTTCCATGAGTCTAACCTATGGACATTTTTGTGTTTGAATCCACTAAAGTGCTATAAAGATATTTATCTCAGCAGTTTTGGTAAGAACAAGAGTTTGAAAATCTACACGTCTAAGGGTCAACCAGATAGCCCAGCAGATTAAATCGCCTGCTTAGACAGACACAGGGGCCAGGGTTTGATCCTGGGCCTGCTCTGCTGGTCCCACCCGTGGGACACACTGAGATGGTGACTGAGATGGGGTGGTGGGGCGTGTCTTTAATCCCAGCACTTAGGAGGCTGAAAAACAGAAGAATCACTACGACTCTGGTCTGTGTAGTGAGACCCTGTAGACCCTGTACTAAATACAAAGAAAAAAGAAAATCAACATGTCCAGTAATAGTAAATCCATACAATGGAATTTTAGTCAGGGATTACAAAGATTGAAACAAATCTCTAAGAACAAATGTGGAATTATCATCAAAATGTGATGTTAACTGAGGAAATAAGCCAAATAAAGAGAAATGTGATTCATTCTGCAATGTGGAGAACAGCCAAAAGCAATTATTAACAAATAATTATTTAAGCACTTTGATTTAATTCTCCCAACTATCCAAACAGATAGGTAACGTGAAAAATGAAGCAAGTGACTATCAACTATGTCCCAGATTTGCACTAAGTGGTGGAATAGGGATTTGAACTCATACCTCCCTCTCACCCACCTTGTTAGAGCAGCCTCAGGGAGACGCATGTGAATCAAGGCTGAGACTAGCTGTGCACTGAGCAGGTGATGCTGCTTGTGCCGAAAGAGACAGAGGACCATTTCACTGTGTACTGTTTTTATACTGCTTGAGGAATAAAAGCTTGTGCCTTGCTACAAGCACAATTGACTTTTTTAATAATTAAAAGATAAATGAAGATATAACAAGTTCCTGCGACTGTTACGGATTGAAAGAAACTTGAGGGACATATTGTTTGTGGCTATGAATTGTGACTTGAGCAAACCATATACATAACTGAACATGAGCCCAGTGTTGGATAATATTTTGCAATTATTATTGATTCTGTTCAGAGCAATATGGTTTTTTTTAAAAAAAAAAAAACATGGGTGAATGGATAAAGATAAAATGAAAAATTTCCTCAGCTCTGGAGAGCAGGAGTAGGACTCTGTGTAAGTTCAAATTCACAGATACTTAGCCCCTGTTGCCAGGATTGCAGTGGTCCACTCTGTCCTGTCTTCCCAGGGCATGACAGTCTCCTACTTCCGGACACATAGTTAGTCTTATGACAGCCTGCTGCCCAGAGTTCCCAATCATGAGGAAGTTCGACCAACCCAGGCTACTGTTTTGACATTTGGTCCTTGCATTTGTCCAGCTCTTTGCTTGGATTTTAGAGGCTTAGAAACCTGCTTGTATCCATATTTCCATTGTAAAAAGCAATTGGGAAGCTTCCCACTGGGGAAGCTAGGTTAAACCCTTCTGCAAAGTGAAAATTGCTACTGAATTGAAACAAATGCAGACAGAAGTTGTGCTGATTAGCCTCCTGGAAAGAAAAGCCAGAAGCAGAAATAAATTGTCATGTGGAGTATTTTAATTCTTATGAAAGCTTCTAAAATTCCCACTCTTGTAAGAAAGTCACCCAGAAGGGTACTAAGCCCTACATGTTATCTATTGTCAGTCTTCTTCTTTTTTAATCAAATATCCCTGAGTCTGTAATGATCTGCTAGAACGTGGGTAAGAATCCTCAGCCTCCTGGCCAACACAAATAGATCTTGTCCCTGGTTGGAGTGGAGGGCAGACCATTCAGATAAACATTGAGAAGTATCCCTTTAAGGAGCGTGGACATTTTGTCCCCAGGACACAGATTCGTTTTGTCTTTCTGTTGTTTTAGGTGCTGGTATTACAACATAGAGAAAGGACTTGAATATTTTCTTCTGGCCTGTAGAAATTACTTGATTAGCTGTTGACAACCTAGGAGGAGTTACTTACCTGAGCAGGTAGCTGGTGCCACCTTAGTAGAGCAGCATTAGTCTCTGTGTTCACAATTACTGTACTCTTCCTCTTCTTTATCACTGATTCCCCCTTTCTATGAGTCAATATATTGAGATCTCATTCTTAAACCTCCCCACACCTCTAGTGGCCTCTCTCTCCTTTATCCCCAAATGTCTTCAAAGAACAATATACAAATAATAAGGATGGAATGACAACCAATAATTACATAGCACTTGCTACATTTGAGGTACTTTACCTATATTGCATAATGAACAGAACACATTCAATTGGCAGTGCAACATGAGCGAAAGCATTTCATCTTTGGTGAATGCGATTTTGAAAACACCAAGGCACAGAGAAGTTAAGTGATTTGCGTAAAGTCACACAATGGCATTGATGGTTTGTTTTCGCTCCCACCACCTTATTAAAATCAAAGTAAAATTAGCACAACAAAATATTCACCCCTTTTCTGCTCTGAAAGTCTTGATGAATAGTAAATGCATACAGTTGTGTAGCCACCGCCACCGTCAAGGTGGAAGGCAGCTTTCCTGCTCCAACCCTCCCCTCTGTATCCCACCCCTGACCCAGCTCCTGGGTGTGTATCTTTATAAAAATACACCACTCACTCCCTGCAGTGGGTGAGCCATTTCTCCTGCCCCCAGCAATATGAAAGAGTCCCCGCTGCCCCATATTCTTGTCAGTACTTGGCAGGTTTTAAAAAAATTGTAACCAATTAACATGAATGTAGCCTACTCTGCTGTAGTTTTAATTTTCGTTTCCTAAATGACTAATGAGGTGAAGCATCTTTTTGTGAGTTTATTTGCATTACATTTATCATTTTTGATAATGTTTGTTCATATTTTTTGTGCAGTTTTATTGGGTTGTTCATTATTACCGAGCATTGAGGAATCTTTACGCGCGCTGAATATAAGCCCTTTATCAAATAAATCAGTCACAGATATTTTCTCCAAGACTGGGACATGTCTTTTCATTCTCTTATCAGTATCTTTTGAAGAGCAGTTATTATTTTTATGAAGTCTAGTCTATCAGTTTTTTCTTTTGTGTATCATGCTGTAGATGCCAAATCTAAGAAGTCTTTGACTCATGCAAGTCACAAGTATTTTCTGCTTTTCTTCTTAAAGATTTTAGTTCTAGGTGTATTGTTAAATCTGTGATCTTTTGGGAGCAAGGTCATTTTTTTTTTCTTTTTTCTTGTGAACATCAAGGTTTTTAAAAAATTTTAATGAATACAAAATAGTAAAAAAAAAAGTACTAGAAATGATACAAAATTCTATTAAATAAAGTAATAGGAATTCAACAGTGGTTGCTATATTGCATGAAGTTATTTTCAAATTAGTTGTCTAGGTTACCAGATATAAACCTACAAAATTGGATTTAAAAAAAGTAAAATAATAACAAAAAAAATTATGACATTAAGAAGAAAAAAATAAGAATAAAAAATTTCCTTATAACTTTCCACAACTACAAATCTGAAGACAGACTTAACACATAAGCCAGCAATACTATGGCCAGAATTTTGCCTAGAAGAATTGAAAAGCATATGTCTACACACAAATCTGTATGCAAGTGTGTCAGGTAGCTTTATTGCTTTCTATTAAAAACTGGAAATGATTTAATATCCATGTCATAATAAGGGTGACTGGATAAGTAAGCTGCAGTGAATTCATATAATAAAATACTACTAAACAATAAGAAGAGATCATTACTACACACAGGCATTATGCTAACAAAGAAACTGGACTCAAGTGGCTTCAGGTTGTATGATCGCATATACATGACTTTCTGGAAAAAGCAAAATGATAAGGATAGAAAAAAAAATCTGTGGCGACTCAGAGCTTGGAGTAGGAGAAGGCATTGGCTACAAGGGGGTCCAGGGAGAATTGGGTGATAGAAGTGTTCCCTACTTTGATCATGCTGCTTCATACATGCCACTATGAATCAGCCAAAATTCATAGACTTCAGTTTTTCAAGGGTAAGTTTTGTTGTCCATAAATTACACCTCACTAAAACTGACTAAGCCGAGAATAGTAGGGAGAACAAGTCCTAGAATGAGCAGGGTCTTCCGGGTATGAGAGGGCTTCAGCCATAGTGACCATGCAGCACAGAACCATGGCTTAGTGAAAGAAAGGGAACACTGAGGCAAAAGCCCAGCACCCCCAAGCTCTAGCTCACTGTGATGTTGAGCACAGAATGTACCCCCACTTCCCTGTCTAGAAAATGAGAGTGTTTAGCCTAGAAAAGGGGCAGGATTTGAAATTAGCTTGTATTCCAATGCCTTTTCTGTTAACTCTTGAAACCTTTCCTTCCTTGTCTGAAAATACAATTCATTTTACTTTTCTCTCAGATTGGGAGGATTCCCTGACATCAATGTACGAAGTAGCCAGAACACAGAAGGTACTCAGCATAGGTTCGTCATTTATTATTTTTTAAAATTAAATTTCCTTGGTACACTTTTGATAAAAACAGTGATCACGTTCATTGCAGGAATTTGTACCTGTCCATGATATATCGTAGTTCCCTTTCATCCCATTCCTCTCTTCTCCTTTCAGCTGTTCTTTCCCTTCTTAGTTCCAGAGGCTTTGTTTTCATTTTTTCCCTTCCACTCTTTTTTCTTTCCCCTCTTTCCCTTTCCCCTCCATTTGAATATTTTCTTGCTACTTTTCAGTGTCTGTCATCCATTTGGGTCCTTATTTGCACTTTCCTTTTCTCACACAAGAGAAGCAAAGTGACATTTAAATGTTTTCATTGTTGTGTGTCCCTGGCTAAGGCCATTTCCACCACTCTTGCTAATTCATCCTTCAAGGATGAGCCTTGAAGATGCTGCTGAAGATTCCCCTGTCGTCTCTGCCACATCACCAACTCCCGCCTCCTCACGTGAGTTCCATGAGAGCTCAAGCACTCAGACTTTTCTCATCCTGAAAAGACCTCCCCGCAGTTTCCTAGGAGCTGCTGCCTCTTTCTTTACTTTCTCTACCGCAGTTCTCCAGGGAGCTGTCTGCACCCGCTGTCTCCATCCTCTCTCCAGTCATTTATTTATTTATTTACTTATCCATTCATTTATTTATTGGGTACAGGGTCTCACTACACAATTCAGACTCATGGTGATCCTCTTGTCCCTCCTGTCTCAGCCTCCCCAGTGCTGGAATTACAGGCATGCGACACCATGCTCAGTTTCAGGCCAGCACTGTGAGCCTTCGTTTTGGAGCAGACATGGCATGGGGTATTGGGGATCGAACTCAGGTCCTTGCACTTGCCAGGCAGGTGCTTAGACCTCTGTGCTATCCTCTCGGCCCTCTCCAGTCTTTCTTTAGCCCACTTGAATACTGCTGCCTCTCCCAAGGCACCAAGAATCTCAAAGTGGCCAAGTCAGGGAGACTCTATCCTCACCTGCCTGGCCTGTGTTCGGTGCAGCACTGCATCCCTGGAAGAGCTCTTCTCCTGACTTCTGGACACCCTACTCTCCCGGTTTTGCTCCTACTTCATTGGCTGCTATGTGGTCCAACAACTCCGTGGTCGGTTCATTCTCCCCTTCGGAGTTGCCTGGGGGCAGGGGTGATGCCCTTCTCCTCTCTCTCTCCCTCTTCACGGACCCCTTGGTGTCCTGTCCTGTGTGCCAGGGCTTGGCAGAGGCACCCTCCAGTGAATGCTTCAGCCCCTGTGTGCCCTCTGAATTCCACACCTGCGCATCAGCGTCTTAACTGGGGTGTTGCCTGGGCATCTGAGTGTGTCCAAACAGGAGCTTCACTCTGCTTCCTCGCACGAGCTTCCTTTAGCCTTCTTCATTTCAGTTGCTGGCCGCTGTTCCACCCTTCCCTGCCATCCATGGTCCTTGGCTTTCTCTTTCTGTCACTTTTCAGGAAAACCTTGTGGCCTTACTTTCAAACTTTGACTGCTTCTCACCATTTCCCTGGTCCACCCTGACCCAAAGCGCCACCGCCTCTTGCTTGGATGACTTCCAGGGCTAAGTGGTCGCCCTGCCCCCACTCTTGCTTTCTGCAATATACTTTTAACCTGGAAGCCAGAAGGATCTTTGAAAAATGGATTGTTTTTATCAGTCTCCTGGTTCAATCCCTCCAGTGCATTCTTATCTCACCTAGAGCACAAACTACACCGTTACAAGGCCTGCAAGACCTCACACAGCTAGAGTCCCTGCCAAACTCTGACCACCATCTGCCCAACTCCCGGCTCACTGTGCTCCAGCCCCGCCCCCTTGCTCTACCTCAAATCAGCCTACTGATTGCATGACATCCAAGCTGGCAATGAAGACTAGAACTCCTCCGATGAAGAATGGGGCTCTGGGGTTTCTTGGGAAGCCCAGTGTGTCCGATTTTTTTTCCAATCTTGGGAATTTTTTATTTTTTAAAAACATGTTTGCAGTAGGTTGCTGATTTCCAATAGATGTCATCATGAGAATAAGAGAAATTAGATAAATGTGACCAACAGTTGACAAAGTATTCACACATTTGAATTATACCAAGTCAAGAATGAGGAAGAAGCCAGTCAAATAGCTCAGTGGATTAAAGCTCCTTCAAGCAGGCACAGGCACCAGGGGTTTGATCCTCAGGCCTGCCATGCTGGCCCCTCCCCCCGGGGCACGCTGAGACTGCAATTGAGACTGGGCATGGTGACGCATGCCTATAATCCCAGCTCTTAGGAGGCTGTAAACAGGTGGATCACTGTGAGTCCCATCTAGGAGTGAGACCCTGAACTCCCTGTAGACACTTCCCTGAATTAAAGAAAATGAGGAAGAAAGTGCTGCAAAAGATAACTGAGATGACACTTGTGTTCCTGCAGTAAAACCAGCAACACATCCATAGCAAGCGAGTGATCGCCTCACTTCCAACGTTTTCCCCTCAAGAACAATTTGAATTTCTTTGGCATCCAAAATCTCAAAGGTCAGTAATGCTTCTGCTAGATTCTTATGCTCTTTTGCATGACTTATCAAGATATGCTTTTGTGGTGGTTGATCGATTGTGTCACCTTGAGAAGTTAAGAGCTTAACTAAATCAGCTCAGCAAGTCCATCCTAGAGTGACTCATTCCTTAAAGGAAAATGAGAGGGCTGGTGAGATGGCTCAGTGGTCTAAAGCACCTACTTAGAACAAGCTTAGCAGAGCACTGGGACCGCGGTTC